ATAATAAAATTCTAGTCATAAATTATCAAATAGTATATCATGGTTAATTTGAATACATCCTTTTTAGTGAATACCAAGAAGAATCATAGTGTGAAAAATCTTGATTCATAGAAAAATCTTATGTATCGAATATCGAGAAATCAAGATAATGATTCATAAAAAATATCACAAGTTATAATAAGGAGAAAAATCATCATTCATTTTTAATTCATTCAATTTGTCAAATCAACATTTGTTGAGTATGCATGATATCAAAACATGTTTTCAAATCTCCAACGTATAACATGCATAATTTCAAAAATTGAAATGAGAAGGGAAGAATTCAAATGTACAAAGATTTCAACCATCTCATAAACAAATGAAAGATCAAGTCATGAATCCAAAATTCCATGAATCAAAATAATCAAAATGATCATCAAAGGTAATCTCATGTTATTCCAAGAAATCAAGATCATGATTTCGATAAAACCTATTAAATTAAAATATTTTTCTTAATCCATGAGATTCATAAAAGCATAATATACATGTTTTCATTAATCTCCCTTTTTTTTTGGAAAAGTCAATAAAGTAGAAAAATAATTTTTTCAAGGAGAAACCTTTCATCTTTTTAGTTGTTTCAATTCATGTGATTTATTTCATTCAAGCATGTCCTTTTTCATTTGTCACATAACAACATGCATCAATTGTTTAAAAACCAAAAAAGAACTTTCATTGCAACAAAGATCAATAAGCCAAAAATCATCATGCATAATTTCGAAATAGAAACTCATTAAGCATGATTTCAAATCAATATGCTCAAGTTTTTGTAGGAGAATTATCCATCTTGTTTAAAACCGAAAAATTAATATTTCATCATGAATAACTTCAAAGTCTCATGCATATTATAAAATCATCAAGCATGATTTCATTAAACATAAATCATCTTCAATTAAAATCATGAAATCATCAAGATACACATTAATGCTTCTTAAAATAATCTTGTTAGGTGTACAAGCATTAGATTTATATCTAACATTTTATTGCATTATTACATCATTAAAACATCAAGCATGATTTTATATTTTCAATCAAAATTGTTTTGTTTATCATAAACATGTAATTTTCATGATTATTTTTAAAATTACTAGAATGATAAGCATGATTCCTAATTTTTGCATTTTCATTATTAAACATATAATTTTCACAAAAATTAATTTTAAACTAAATTAAAAAAATACATCATGAAAAGCATTATATAATTTTGAAATAAATTAGGGGATTTTGATTACCTCATCATCGAAAGCCGTTAAGGCGTAGTTTGTCACCTCGCCTTTGTTGATTTTCTCCTCGTCTTCGGAGGAGCTCGATTTATCCCAATTTGTGTTCTACTTCTTGCGTTCAAAGCAAGTAGTTACGTTCTTTTTATTCTTTAATTTTTGTTTCATTAACTTTTTAAATTTCTTAGTGAGTTCAAGTTCACCATCACTTGAGCTTATGCTCGAGTGGTCTTCAATTGTTCTATATCTCAAATCCTTCCTGTTCTTTGAAAGGTGGTTTTGTTCATCATGTTCATCATGTGCATTGTGCACCATTTCATATATCATCAATGAACCGATAAGTTCTTCAAGTGGAAAAATATTTAAATCTTTTGTTTCTTGTATTGTCGTTACTTTCAAATTCTAATTTGTAGAAAGAGATCTTAAAATCTTGTTAACGAGTTCAAAATTTGAAAAGTTTTTACCAAGTCCTTTTAGACTATTGACGACATCCGTAAAACGGGTGTATATATCTCCAATAGTCTCACTTGGTTTCATATGAAAAAGATCAAAATCATATATTAAAAGATTGATCTTCGAATCTTTTACTCTACTTGTGCCTTCGTGTGTGACTTCTAATGTGTGCCAAATCTTGAAAGTCATTTCACAAGTAGAATCCCGATTAAAGTCGTTTTTGTCTAAGGCGAAAAATAAGACATTCATAGCCTTTGCATTTAGAGAAAACGTCTTCTTCTCCAAATCATTCCAATGGTTCATTGGAAGAGAAGACATTCGAAAACTATTTTCAATAATATTCTATAAATTTAAATCCAACGAAAGCAAGAAAACTCTTATTCGAGTTTTCCAATAAGTGTAGTCCATCCCATTGAAAAAAGGAGGACGAATGAGAGAGTGACCCTCTTGAAAGCCGAAAAGAGCCATTTCCCTTTAGGTGTTAAACCAAATGAGAAAACGAGGCTTTGATACCAATTGTTAGGATCGGGGTCGGCACTAAGAGGGGGGTGAATTAGTACAGTGGTAAAAATTACGGTTTCGAAAATTCTTTCGTACGATAAAAATCGTTTACGTTGAAAACCGATCTCGGAAATATCTTAACTTGAAACACGTTTGTAAATGAATTGAAGGCAGTAAGCACTTAAAGAGGTTTGCAGTAAGGTAATAGCAAGAATAAAATACAAACCAGAGAACACGGTAGTTTTAGAGTGGTTCGGTCAACGTGACCTATATCTACTTTCGACTTCCTCCTTCGACAAGGTCTCCGGCGTCCACTAGAGGCCTTCCTTTAATAGGCGAAGGCCAATCACCTTTTACACCCCTCTTCTCCTTTTTATAGGTTTAGGAGATAACCCTTACAAGCACTCACACTCCTCTTATAGATTTCTAAACTTTGAGTGGACGAGGAAATTTCTAAAGAGATTGCAATAACGTTTTTCTACTTTTGAACTCTCTGTGCTTGTGTGCTTTAACCAGGGATGAGAGGGGTATTTATAGGCTTCAAGTTGATTCAAACTTGGAGCCTAAAACTTTCCCATCCCAGGTTCCCCAGGCATGGGCGGTACTATCGCCTGCGCTGGGCGGTACCAACGCCCAGAGTCAGTCGACACTAACACTGTCCTGGGCGGTACCACCACCCAAGTCTGGCAGTACCACCGCCTGGGGGGTAGTGCTGGGCGGTACCACCGCTTGGCAACCTGCCAGGGGTAGTACAACTGCCCAAACTAGCGATACCACCGCCTGACATAGTCTCGAAGACTGTGCCACGACGGTGAGACTTCTTGGGGCACTGCTTAGGCTTCTTATTGGGCCCAACATAGTTCTTACATGGGCCTAGCTAGCCTCTAATTGGGTTGGCCCAAATCTAAGCCCAATTACGTACTAACTACGAAATCCTAAGACATTTGCTAAGCAAAACAAGTCCCTATGTCTATTCTTCCTGTGAGCTTCCGGCGAACTCATGGACTTCATGACGATCTTCTTGGCGAGTTCCGACGAGCTTCTCTGACAAGCTTTGAAACTTCTCGGCTGGTTCCTCCAGAACTTCTGACGAACGTCCGGACTTCCGACGAACTCTTGAACTTCCAACATAATCACGTCCTTGACTCTAGGACTTTATTTTGCTTCATGCCTTGCTATCGTAGTGAATCTTGCACATATAAAAACATACTTTGATTTAGACAATTAATACTAAGCATTAATCAAGTTGTCCGGCATGTCATTGGTCCCTCGATGCTTCGTCTGATTCTTCGACGCATCGTCATCTCTTGTGGCCTATTACCCAATCGGCCAGTTGACTCTGCAACTCCGATATCCTTGGCACAATATCCGCTCTTCTTGGCCCGATGCCCGAATCCACGGCTCGAAGCCTTCTATCGATACATCGACCGATCTACCAGCCCGACATCCAATCTTCTGACATGTTCCTTCGGCCCAACATGATTTTTCCTGCTTTAATTGTCTCATCCTGATCAAAGCATCCTGCATCACTCAAAACGCAAATTAAAACATAAACACATATCAATTGGTTTTATCATCAAAATATGAGATTCAACATTTATATTATTTGATGTATAAATATATTATAATATCTATGGATTTGTACAATGAAAATTGGATTATGATGAGATCACGATAATGAGACTGATTTACCTTTAAACATAGACCATAAATAATCATGGTCATAAGTTACTCGAGAAGGACATCGAGATAACCAGACAGACTTTGTACTGTATACCCATCTATATGATAGAGACCGCTAATCTCATAGCTACTCGTGTGGGGACACTAGGGCTATAGTGCAAGTGTTCATTGGAGAATGAGTTCACTGATTGATCCGCTCACGAAATATTAGATGGTTGATGATAACTCATTGTCAAACAGTAATTTCGTCGTCTCAATGGTGTACTTGGTCCTTAGACTTGAGATACCAAGGATGTCCTATATGAGTACTCCACTCTTTGATATCAGACTTATAGGTTTGGAAGTTCCAAATCTAGTACAAGCAGTCATTGGGAGTAACAGTCAACCTTACTAGGGCTATTGAGTATTGATAGAGGATCATCCACTCTCGGTATTATGAGAGAAATATCCTATATGTTTTTGCTTAGATAAATCCTTGGCCAAGGTCATTCAGATTAAGAGAGAATGAATTCTCTAGAAGAATCCGATTAGAGCGAGACTCAAGGAGAAACCGTATGGGCCTAACAGCACAATATCCGGTATACAATCTCTGGGATATTAGATGGACGAGGAACTATAGGTACATGGTAACTAAGAACGGATAGGTCCAAAGGATTGAATTCCCATGTATCGTTTGGGGACTACAGTGTAGTGGCCTAATACATCCGCAGTCGATGAGTCGAGTGAATTATTATGGAGATAATAATTCACTAAGCTAGAAGGAGTTCTGACAGGTATGACTCACAACCAGCTCGATATTAGGTCTAGAGAGTCACACACATATAGTAGGTGTTGCGACGAGTAATGTTTCAGATATGAGATATTGATCGAAACCCCTATCTTAATGGATATCCAATAAGCACCTAAATTATTGGATCCTATAGATGAGATCCAATAAGAGCCAATGAGAGATTATTGGATAGATATCCACTAATCTAAGATGCTTGGATAGTTGGAAGGAGATTCAATACCCAATAGGGCAAAACTATTAGGGTTAAGTTGATAGGAGGCCTCTATAAATATTTGAGAACCAAAGGGTTATAAGTTAGGCTTTTTGGTTACCACCTCCTATTCTCCTCTCCCATTCTCCTCCTTAAATAGCAGGTGTAGAGATTTGGATAGTGATTTGAGGAGCGTCTTCGTAGCCCTCGCCGTGTGGATCACTGCTAGAGAAGATGATGCTTGATCTCCTTCATCCTCTCCCACATATCTGTAGAAATTTAGGGATATACGATTTCCCTAGGTAACACAAATATCTCACGCATGGTTTTCAATTTTGTAGATTTTTTTTTACCAATCTATGCACAACGATGAACACTTTTAGGAAAATTTGAGAATTTTGTTTTATGTTATTCCGTTGCAGATGTGATGTCGCCCTCAGATTTTTCTATATCATTATCACCATAGATGGATTTAAGGAAAAGATTTAGGTCTCTCCAAATGGGTATATCAGAAAAGTACCTTAGAAAGGATAAATCTTAAATTAACACGGTAATATTGTAGAGCTTATTACAAAAATTCTTTACATAAAATCGATCATCTCTCTCTCTCTCCGTTCTTTTTCTATGCCGTCACTCTTTTCACCGTTCACACATACACACCACACGTCTCCACTTCCCTTTTCTTTATTTTTTTTTAATAACCGATTATATTTGGTTTCAATGGCCCTGTTGTCTAGTCCTAGTCCACGGTCTGAACCCAATAAACACATCTCGATGACACGTACAATTGAATCAACCTAAAACGTATCTCAATGATACGTGTCTAAATCAATACAAAGCACATCTCGATGGCATGCATGGCTAGATTGGCCTAGAGTATATTTGAATGACACACATGATTAAATCAACCCAAAGCATATCTCGATGACATTGTAACCGAACTAACCCATAACATATTTCAATGACAGAAGCAGCCTAATCAACCCAAGGCACAATACAATGACAATTACGACTAGAACAATCGAGCAAACAATTCATGATTTACTTCTGTGTCGATAGGTCAATATGGATCACTTCCCAACTTGCTCACATTGTGCTCAATAAACAAAGAAGTGGGGGAGGCAACTAATACAGGGGTAGACACATGACCTACACCTCAGTGCCATGCAATTGATGCCTCATCGCCACGTGCCTAAAATTTCATCACAAAGTCGAGTAGACTAGATACAATCACATTCTAGATTCGATGCACCATGGTTGCAATTAAATATGTAAGAGGCACACCATCTTTCCTGTAATGGATGACTACTATCGTGCGAGTAATAATATTTGGAGTTCATTATAAAAAGACTTCGTAGATGCACCACGAGACATTTTTATTTTAAAAAATATAAACTAAATCCTTCAAATCGTTACTGACTTAGATATCAAAGGGCCATCGTCTTAAGCCACTTCTGTTAACTTCAAATTAAGATTTAGATTGGACAATTAACATAGCAAAAATCATGATATATGTTACACTGCGAATCTCTCTCTCTTGTTTTAAGTTCAATAAAACTCGTGTCACAACATGATACAATCGGATTTAATCATCGGGGGAGGATCATCGATCAACTTCGAGGATCGAAGTACAACAACGACATGACAACGCCTGACAAACAGAGAAGAACATGTATGGAATCCTTTGACCGTCGAACGAACTGTGGTTAGATCAAAGGGGCATTGAAATGGACATTATCGGCTCTATCCACCCCTACGTGGACGGACAACGTACACCTGACCGCATCTTGCACCCATCAAGTTGATAGTTTGGTTATTCACTTTACACATGATATTAACTTGCATATATGTCATATTAAAATTATGAAATGTTGGGATATTCATTGTCAAATATAACAAAGTAACAATACCAAGAGAGAGAAAAAGCTTCAAGTTTGTGAAGATATGGACTAAAACCTTCTTCTTACATGCTTATGTCTCAATAAGAATGAGAAGAATCTAATAACATGTGAAGGCAAAAACACTACTGCCAGAGCAAACTTGTGTGGTTGCCATATTGATCTTACGGCAAGAACAGTCTTGCTCTATCTCGTTCATTTTTGTCGGCTTCTCACCCAATAGTAAAGCCCCGAGAAAGATATCTTATCAACCAAGCGAAAGTACGAAATCCTCCAAGCCTTCTTCAACGACAGGATGCCCCAAAATGTCCAGAATCCAACCACAAATCCTATCATCATGCCAATGAAACACCATAGAGTCTCAGACTCATCACTGTTTCTTGTATCCAACACTGGTTCATCAGATCCTGGTACTTCATCCCCTGTGCACTTCTTCGTCAATGGTGTTCCACAGAGATCAGGGTTGCCGGCATATATGGTTGGATCGGTAAGAGTCTGCATCTGGTTGCCCACCGGAATCCTCCCTGATAGTTTGTTATATGACAGGTTCAAGTAGCTCAGATAATTCAACGCAGAAATGCTCGATGGGATCTCCCCATCGAGTAGGTTCTTCGAGAGATCAAGAGATTCTAGCTGTTGCAGGTTGCCAATCTTCCTTGGAATACTTCCTTTCAATCTGTTACCTGATAAGTTTAAGCTCTGCAACCCAACAAGATCTGTGATGCTATCCGGGATTTGTCCATGTAGATCGTTTGCAGACAGGTCCATGGACATCACCAAAGAAAGTGTGTTGCTGTATTCTAGGTCTCTTCCTTTGATGGTCACCAACAAGCTCTCTTGATATATTGCCGTCAGCTCGATCCCTACGTAGTCCACTGTGTTACCTGAATCAGGCGTAACGAAGAACTCAGTGATACGCTTATCTGTTGAGACCATGGCACTTGGATTGGCAATCCAGTGAGGAACTGTTCCTGCGAAATTGTTCCCTGCAAGATCCAACACTTGAAGTTCGGAGAGTAGTCCTAATTGATCTGGAATAATTCCACCGAGCATGTTCGATCGAAGACGAAGCATCTTAAGATGTGTTAGGCTTTCTCCGATCCATGGTGGAATGCTTCCCTTCAAGCTGTTCTCTCCAAGATCAAGGATGTACAGGTAAGTGCATTTCTCCAAAGAAGGTATACCCCCATGAAGACTGTTGTTGTTCAAGTGCAAGGATCCCAGGAAGCTCTCCGTGCCAATCCATTGAGGAATCGTTCCCGATAAGTTGTTGTTCGCAAGATTAAGGACAGAAAAGAATCCTAATCCTGTAGTGACTTTCGAGCAGCGAGGGATTTCTCCTGATAAGAGATTACTCGATAAGTCGAGCACTTCCAACATCTGCATCTCACAGATGGAGGATGGAATCGTACCAGAAATATGGTTTCGCGAAAGCGAAACGCTCCACAAATCAGTCATATTATTGAGTATTGGACGAAGATCTCCGGAGAAGGAATTGTCTGAAAGATAGAGGTAACTCACCCCATTGCCAATGAGAGGTAGTGAGCCATGGAATTGGTTCGACTGGAGATCGATGATGGCGGCGTTCTTAAACGTGAAGGTGTCGGGAATGACGCCTCGTATATGGTTATGCGAGAGTTTAAAATAGTAGACTCGTGATGATGAGTTCCAAAACCAATCTGGCACGGCTGCAGAAATGTCGGCGTCGGACATGTCCATCGTCGAGAACATCCTCTGCGTCCGCAGCCATGCCGGGAACTGCGGTCCCAGAACACAGGAGCCCAGGTGAATGTTCTTGAGCTGGAAATGAGGAAGCCAACTAGAGCTGAATCTGAGAACCAGCGAGTTCGAAGACAGGAGCAGAGCTTCTAACTTTGTTACGTTGCTGAAGTGCACATCGGAGACGATGCCAGAGAGTTGATTGAAGCCGACATCCAACACGATTAGCTCCGAGAGCTGCCCGAAAGATTCAGGAATTGGCCCCTGTAACATGTTGTTGCCTAGGTAGAGGAAGCTCAGTGACGACAGGGTTCCAAGAGATGGAGGAATGAGACAACAGAGCAAGTTGTCCTCAAGATGCAGAGACTTCAAATTCCTGAGCTCCCCAATCCAATCAGGAACTGCACCACCTAGAGCATTGTTCGCCAGATTTAATACCTGCAAGCTGTTTCTGACACATCCAGACAACTGCTTGTCAAAATTCGAGATGTCTGCACTGATCCCATTATGTGACAGGTCTAGAATCTGCAAGTTGCATAGGTTTTTAATGTTCCAAGATGTGGTATCATTGAAATCATTTCTACCGAGTTTTAACACCTGAAGGGAAAAGCCAAATTCCCAAAGCCAGAGATCGGGCCTTGGAACTGGTTGAAGGAGAGATCGATACTCTTGAGATTGCTGATGTTGAACAGCCAACTGGGGAGTAGAGGACCCAAATAATTTGAGCTAAGATCCAGGGTTGTAAATGATGTGAAGTTAGCAGATGGAGGAAGAGTATTAGGAAGGCGAAGTAGCTGGCAATTGAAAAGGCGCAGCACTGACAACTTCGGAAGCTTGGTTACTTCGTCGAACAAATCGCCTGCTGCCGAAAGGTTAATGGCGGACATGTCGAGGTACCTCAAGGAGGAGAGACGAGAGATCCAGTGGAAGTTATCGACGACGAGAGGACGAGGAGGGAGGGAGAGCCAGTGGAGATCAAGGTACTGCAGGCGAGAAAGGTTGCCGAGCTGATGTGGAATCGTGCCGCCGAAGGTTGCGTCGGAGAGGTTCAGGTACCGCAAGCTCGTCAGCGAGCCGATGAAGCGTGGGATGCTTGCTCCATCGAATCTGTTTCTGCTCAAGTCCAGGTAGCTCAAGTGCTTCAGCTCGGGCAGAGAAGGACTGATCTCCCCGGACAAGAAGTTGTCGTCGTCGTCGTCAGGTGAGGGTGAGGGGTTGCGCAGTCGGAGCTGGATGACATGGCCGGTGCGGTTGCTGCAGCGAACGCCTCGCCATCTGCAGCAGTCGTCACCCGCCCAGGAAGACAGCCGGCCGCTGGGATCGATCAGGCCTTGCTTGAGCTTGAGAAGAGCTGCCCTTTCATTCCCTTTGCAACGAGCGCTGGAGTCGCCTGCTGCCGCGGCAGAATGGATGATTCCCATGAACAGAAACATGAAGAAAAGGGTTAGAGGCCGTGGCGCTCCATTCTCCATGATCATACATACATACAGGAGCTGAGAGAAACATTCGATATATAAACAGAAGAACTCTTTATGTCTTCTTCTCTCACTGTCATCGTCTGTGGGCAGTTGGCAGAGGAGAATTCCGAGCTTGGTGTTTATTTCCATGTTGACTGGACAAGCAAGGCCGCAAATTTCTGCAAAAGACGCGTTGGGAAGGTTTATAATGGTCAAAGTCTTCCTTCAGCCGCAGTGGAAGAGTGGCTGTGACTGATCTACCCATCTCTCACGTTCTCAACACTGAGAATTAAGGATCAAAGTGATCAAAAACTGAATTTTATTCATCTGATATGTTTCGACGGACGTGATGGTCCAGCAAACCTTGATAGGTAGAGTTTAGTAGACATCTACTTTACGAGGTGTGCATTACATGAGATTTTGTGCGAGAATGCAACAGGGTGCCAGATGTCCATGCACACATCTACTTTACGAAACCTATAACTACATATAAATCTCTTTACAAAATTAGATATTATATCTTCTCCCCTCCTTTACAATTTGGTCTCCAAATTGAAGATATTACATCCATAAACTAATGTGGATATTTTTGCTCTAACTGGCCTAAATATTATCTCGTCAGGAGTGTGGCGTTGCCAGTGTAACTTTTACCAGAGGTATTGTCTTTGTTCTTAGGTTATGTATATTTTATTGTAGAATTTATATTGATTGTTCAATATAAGTAGCATCCTCTCTAGTTAATTGAAGAGATTGATAAGATAACATATATAGGAAATCTGAAATATATTTCAGAAATATTGAGTGTATGTTTGACAGTGTTGGCAACAAAGTAACTTGGTAAGTGATTGAACTTTTTTTTTTGAAGAAGAAGAAGAGCTTTTTTTTTTTTCTTTTCAAATCTCATGACCCTTTTTGTTGATGACACTTTTAAAACATGATCACCTATTTTAAATTTAAAATCTTATCTTCATCGATCAACATAACTCACTTTGAGCTATTAGCAATCTTTTACAAATCAATTGAATGATTTATCTCTTTGAATCATTTAATGGCCTAACAATTTTCTTTCTCTCGTATCGTCCTAATTTACTAAAGATCGACATCTTCTTTCATACAATGCTTCAAAAGAGGCTATTTAGATTTCTGAGTGATAGTTGTTATTATAAGCAAACTCTGTAGATGTTTATTCTGTTAGGACTGTGACGACACTAAGAGGGGAGGGTGAATTAGTACTTATATAAAAATTTATCAATTTAGAAATTCTTGTTCAATGAAAACCAATATCCGAAAGATATTAACTTGAAAATACATTCGTAAGCATAGTGAAAGGAAGAAATTAGTTTACAATGAAAATGATAAACTTAAAGTAAATGTAAACCAGATTTATAGTGGTTGAATCATCGTGACCTACATCTTGGGTTTCCCGGGTCTTGGTGGTCTCACCGCCAGTGCTGGGCGGTACCACCGCCTACAGCACTGACACTAGGCGGTACCATCACCTGACAACCTAGGAGACTATGTTTCGAAAGTACCACTGCTTGACATGGTTTGGGAGATTATGTTTGGGCGGTACCACCGCCCAATCTAGTGGTGCCACTACTTGGGCCAGCTATGGGTCACTGAATGGGCCTTTCAATTGGCCCAAAATAGCCCTAATTCGGGCCTAGTTGGCCCCTATTTAAGTTGGCATGGTTACACCCCAAAACCGACTCAATTAGACTCTAAACTAACTTGATCTAGACATAATCGATTATAAGCGTGAATCCTATGTTGTCTGGCATATCATTGGTTCATCCGACGTTTCGTCCGATCCTTCGACACATTGTCCTCTCCTTCGATGTATTGCCCAATCAGCATGTTAACTCCTGTAACTTCCGATCTCCTTGGCGCGATGTTTGATCCTTCGGCCTGATACCCGAACTCACGGCATGAAGTCCTTCTGTCGACACGTCGATCGATCCTCCGACTAACGTCCAATCTTCAAACATGTTCACTTCGACCCAACGTCTAATTCCTTCTGCTTTAATCAAATTATCTTTTATGATCGAAATTAGTCCTGTGACACTCAAAATGCAGATTAGATCCTAAACTCATCAATTGATTTCATCATTAAAATTTGAGATTCAACAATCTCCTCATTTTTTATGATGACAACCAATTGATAACGGAGTTTAAACTAAACTCTGTTGAATCTCGGATTTTGATGATGAAATCAATTGTAAATTGTTAGATCTAATCTATATGTTGAGAAAAGTATTTAGGATTAACTACGATAGCAGTAAGACATAAAGCAGGAGTTGTGACGGAGTCAAGATCGAGATCTCGTTGGGAGTTCAAGAGTTCGTCGAAAGTCCGGACGTTCGTCAGAAGTTCTGCCAGAACCAACCGAAAAGTCCAAGAGCTTGCCAAAGAAGCTCATCGGAACTTGCCAAGAAGATCGTTGTAAAGTTCAAGAGCTTGCCAAGAGTCCACTGGAACATTGCTGGTAGTTCGTCAAAAGTTCACTGGAAGATCGCCGAAAGAGCAATTGACGTACCAAAACAAGATGCTTTGTCAATTATCTTAATTATTGTAGTTAGTTTGTAAATTGAGTTAGGATTGAGAGTTAATCCCACTAACTTAGTTAGAGGACAAACTGGACCCTTAATAGGGCTGAATTGGGTCAGATTGAATAGCTCATTCAGCCCCTGAAATCATGGTCAATGATGGCACCGCTTGGGAGACTCAGTCTTCTAAGTGGTCTGGGCGGTGGTACTATTGGCAGTTAATGTTGCCAGCAGTGGTACCACCCAATGTCAGACTGCAGGCGGTAGTACTACCCAGTAATGGTGGTGGTACCGCCAATACCCCGAAATTCGAGGATATGACACTTTTGGTTCCAATTTTGAAGCCATTGGGGCCTATAAAAACCCCATCATTTCTTGCATAAAAGGGCACGAAAGTGTTTAACATATTCTTGAATCTCTGGGGTGTTAAGTGTTGTAAAAGTAAGAAAGAGTCCTCCCATCCCTCTCTTAGCTTTGTAAACATCCAAGAAAGAGGAGTGAGGCTTGTAAGGGTTATCTCTTAAACCCAAAAAAAGGAGAAAGAGCTGTAAAAGGTGGTTGGTCTTCACCTATTGAAGGAAGGACTTTAGTGGACGGCGGTGACCTCGATGGAGGAGGAATCCGAAGTGGATGTAGGTCACATCGACCGAACCACTGGTTTGTGTTTCTTTTTATGTAATTTACATTACTGTAAACCTCTTTAAGCTTCTCTTTACATTTTTACGAAAGCCCTCAAGTTCAACATCCTTCCAAAATGGTTTGAATCGAAACAAATATTTTATGAAATCGATAATTTTTCGTTACACTAGTTCACCCCACCCGACCCCCCCTCTTAGTGCCGCTCTTGATCCTAACAATAACAATTTGTATCATAGCAAGGTCACTCTCATTTGGTTTGAAACCCAAGAGAGATGATATTTGTCGGCAACCAAGAGGGTCACTCAATCACACGTCCGCCCATGTTCAATGGAACGGATTACATTAATTGGAAGACTAGAATGAGGATTTTTCTTATTTTTATGGATTTCGAATTATGAAACATTGTAGAAAATGGCTTTCAAAAGTCTTCTCTTCCAATGAATGATTGGAATAAGTTAAAGAAGAAGACTTTCGCTCTAAATGCCAAGGCTATGAATGCCTTGTTAGGTGTTTTGGATAAAAACGAGTTCAATCGAGTGTCGATTTGTGAAACAACTTTTGATATTTGGCACACTTTCGAAATTACTCACGAATACACTAGTAGAGTAAAGGAGTTGAAAATTAAATTTTTAGTCCATACTTATGAATTATTTCGGATGAAACCGAATGAGACCATTGAAGACATGTACACCTGATTTACGGATGTCGTCAATGATCTAAAAGGACTTGGTAAAAGTTTCTCGGATTTTGAACTTGTTAACAAAATCTTAAGATCCCTCCCAAAGAGTTGGGATCCTAAAGTAACGGTCATTCAAGAGACTAATGATTTAAATAACTTTCTTCTCGAAGAACTAATCGGGTCACTAATGACCTATGAGATGACTTATAATGCTCATGAAGAGCTTAAGAACAACCTTCCAAAGAACAGGAAGAATATGACACTAAGAACTTAAGAAAACCACTTGAAAGAAAATTTAAGTGATTAGGACTATAATGAAGACTTGACACTCTTGACAAGAAAGTTCAAAAAATTCATAAAAGAAATAAATTTAAAAATGATACTAAAAATAAAGTTGAATCCAAGAAAGAACAAGTGATATGCTACGAGTGCAAGAAGCCGAGACACTTCAAAGGTGAATGTCCCCAAGCAAAGAAGAAGCAACTAGAGAAGAAGAAGACCTTTAAAGCAACTTGGGACTACTCAAGTGCATCCGAAGAAGAGGAGCCAACCAACATCGAGCAAGTTGCTCACTATGCGCTAATGGCGATTGGAGATGAGGTAAATAGTTCATTAGATGCAAATTTATCCTTTGATGAACTATTAAGTGCTTTTCATGATTTATTTGATGAATGTAAGTTAATTAGTAAAAAATATAAATTGTTGAAAAAGGAGTATGTTTCTCTTGTTAGTGATTTAGATAGATTAAAAGTTGAGCACAATGATAGTTTAGCTCCATGTACGAAATATGATGAACTAGAAATACTTCAAAAGGAAAACTTGCTACTCAAAAAAACCTTAGAAAATTTTGAGATTAGTAGTAAGTCCTTGAACATGATCCTTGCCAATAAGGGTCACATCCATAGGAGAGGTGGAATCGAATTTATGAGCAACTCTCATCAAAATCTAATCACCTTTGTTAAAAGCCCTACCTTGCATGTTTCATTCCACACCAAATGTAACTTTTGTCACAAACTTGGACATGTTTGTCACGCCCCCCGAATTTAATATAGATCAATAATACATTCCATGATCCAATCACACATTTGAGGACACTGAGAAAATGTTCAAGTCATTTCCATATATTCCATAATCCATAAGACCTGTGTAAA